GACGGCACACACATTAACAACAACAACAACAGCCTAACCAATTTGGAACGTACTTTGGGATGACATAGTTGAACTAATGACATCTTTTGGCCCTCAAAAATTCAGGTCCTTGTCATATGTAAAACACTCTTACCTCATATCACTCTGAAAATCTTGGAAATAAATTCTAAGTCCAATTATCATCATAGGCCAAAATTCTTCTTGGTCCCTGAATCTAGAATATGAGTTAATTTGCTTTCAAAATACACCAGTAAGATATACTCAAAATAGACACGCCCATTACAAATAGAAAGTTTGGAGGGGTAAGGCTACTGTGCTTGAGGAGATGGAAGTATGGCCTTTCATAACTGAAGGAGTGGAGTCACTGTTTTTTGACTTGGAAAAATGGGGATCCCCAAAGTTGAAGGGTCAGAGTTGGTATCCTCATTGGCCTAGGAGGCCAATCTGAAGCCCAGCGCCAAAGAGCCTCCACTTAGAATCTAGAAAGCATGGCCGAAGTTCTGTGGGGCAAGGCCACTGCCTAGACGTTTTTGAGAGCCAGTGTAAATAGTTGTACTGCATGTTTAACTTGCCTGATGCTGTTTATTAAAGTATCCTTTTATTAAAATTTCTCACATTTTTATTCCTTTCACCATTGCTTTGTTCAGTTTAAATACTTCCTTTGTTAAATGTATTACTTTTTAAAATGACATTTTCCCATAATTTTATTTTCTAATTTTTGTTAAGTTTGTAGAAATACTAGATATTTGTACTTTGATCTCATAGGATGCCAGCTTGTTAAAAAATAAGTAACTTAAAAGAAAAGGAAGGAAGTAACTTTAAACTTCTATTTCTAAGAGTAATTTTAGATCTCATAATTTGACCCATATAATGCACCAGTCAGTTAACTAATTTATGTCCTATGGCTTTCCCAGTGACGATAGGGAAGGGAGAGGGGAGAGATTATTCTCCATTTTCTTCTTGCTGTGTCAGTTGATTTTATTATTTTCAGACTATCTTACTCAGACTCATTCAGAGGGTTGCGTGAATCAAAAGAGGTTGTAGATCTGAGATTAAGAAATACTTTATTTCCTGTTTGTTCCAAGCAGCGTCATTTCAAGAACTTTTGTTTAAAATAGTTTATTTCTTGTTCATCTCTTAGACTGGTATATGTTTTGGGGTATTTTTTAGGGGGTTAATTTCTCTTCAGAGGGGTTCTTTTCACCATGTTTTGCTTTATACACAATCACATTTGTTTGTTTTTTAATTTTTAACCAGTTGAGCTCCAAGGTTCAGGTGACAAGAATCAGTAGACCAGACTTTCAAAAAAGTGCTATTATTATTACTAGCTTTTGATAATTTTATAATTTTGTGCACTTGGACTTCTGAACAGGCTTTTGATGCATATCCATCAGGATTTAACACCACATTCCAAGCTCCATTGATACTTCAGTCTGGAGTAGATCAAGAAGAAGAAAAGAAAGTGGTATGTAGTAATTCTGCTTTTGGTCAGCAGTCTTTCTACTATAAGGTGTTTTGTTCACTCACTCACTACTGTCAAGTCAGTTCAACTACTGGTGACTTAGCAGGAAGTTTCTACAGCTATATATCACAATATGAGGAGACTGCCCAGCTCTTTCCCACTGAGTCACTGGTGGATTGTAACCTACTGAGACCTGCAGCCTTTAAGCCTTTTAGCAGAGCACCTCTCTACAGGCCGGGCCACCAGAGCTCCCTTTTGTTACTGTCAGGTGCCATCGGACTGGCCCTGACTTCTAGTGATCCTGTGTACAAAAGGATGAAACCCTGGCTCATCCAGAGCTGCCCTCACAGTCTCTGCTGGGCTTAAGCACATTGTTATAGTCACTGTGTTTGTCCATCAGGTTGAGGGTCTTCTCTTTCACTAGTTCTCTACTGTAGTGGTATATACGAAATTTAAATGATTTGTGTGTCCCCACACTTTAAGAGCTGTTGTTATTATGTGCCATCAAGTCGCCTGCAACTCACAGCAACCCTATGTACAACAGCTCAGAACTCTATTCTGAGCTCACTGACTCTGGCATACCTACCCCCTTTACTCCAGTTACTGTGTCAATCCATCTCATCTGGGGTCTTCCTCTCCTGCGCTGTCACACCACCCTTATGAGCATGATATCCTTTTCCAAGGACTGGTCCCTCCTGGCCACATGCCCAAAGTATTACAAAGATCTAATGATAAGCATTTTTTGAGTCATTATAAGAGTTTGGACTTTTTTCTCCTTAGCTTTTAGAATTTGGGGGACAGTAACCGAATCCCAGTGAATTTTCCAAGCTAGTGATGATTTGCCACAATAATTTATTTAAAGGATGTGTTTTAATTTACTAATATTCTTTGCTATCTAGTGTGAAGCAACTCATAGCTGACCATTGGATTTTCAAAGTTTTGAATCACACATGAGGAGAGAGCCCATCTTTCTGTCCTGTGGAACCACAGATGAATTTGAACTGACAGAGAGATGCTACCTTGTGTTAGCAGCACAGTTCCCTGTGGGCTACACCAGAGCTTCCCTTTAATTAAGGAAATCCTTATTTTATTACCAATCTAAAGTTGATTTTAACCAGTAGCTCTTCATCTAGGCCATATACCAAAATCAGATGTGATGTTTTCTAAAAAAATACAGATACCTAGACCCATACATGTAAACTAAATTAATACCTGAAGGCATAGATTGGTAGCACCTCTAATTTTTTTAAAAACAGCACATATTTCTTAATCATCTTCCCATTTTACAAGTATACATAGAGGTGAGACATACTTTGCCTTTTATGAAACTTGAGTCCTTAGAAAAAGAATAAATAAACTCAGAAATATAAAAAGATCACACATACAAGTTAATAGCACTAATTTGGTTATACTTGATCCTTTGAATAGTGTAATATTCTGATGAACCTCAGCCCTTCTACTCTCCTTCCCTTTGACGTGTTTGCTGTTGTTGTGTACAATTGAGGCAGAACTGACTCATAGCTGACCCTCTGGCAGGTTTTCAGAGGCAGTTAATTGCACAGGAGGAGACTGCCTATCCTTCTCCGATGGAGCAGCTGGTGCCTTCAGGATTGCAGGGCAGTTTCACCTGATACATGATATTTGATTATATTCTCAAGTACTGATGACAGAAGATTCTACTAAGAACTAAGTGAATTTTTGCCACTGCTCTGGTTTATCTAAAGCATCTAATAGCTATGTGAGGTATATAAAAACCTTGCTGTATGTATTATCCTGAATCTCAATAAAAAAGAAGGCAATTAGGGCTCAGGCTTAAGGGACTCTTCTGTTTATCTGTGACACAGGGATATTTTCCTTCTTTGGAGAAGCCCCCTGAAAGCAGGATCTTAAAAATTCTATCTTTCCTTTAGCGTCAAAAGCAGTACCTGAGATATAAACGACTTTTCATGGATATTGAGCGAGAACAAGTAAAGGAACAACAAAGGCAAAAAGAACACAAGAAGAAAATCGAAAAGTAAGCTTTTTTATCTTTGTTTTGAGTTTTGAATTATCTGTTAAGTTGTTTTATGAAGTAAATTTTAGAAATAGGAGTAGTTTTGCTTTTTTGATCTATAGTAGAAACAACTATTTCTTTAGTTATAAAATATATACAGTATAAAACTTGCAAATTTAACCACATTTAAGGGTCCAATCTAGTGGCATAAACCTTACAATGAGAATGAATAACTTTTTGTCTGGATAGCATATTGAGACATGGCGAATTGAGAGAGTTATGTTTTTAATATAGGAATTTTCACTGACTTCCCTTCTGAGCTCAACCTCAGTAGTTTGCACAAGCTTCATACTGCTCCTGACTTCTAAGGAATACTTAAAAAATTATAATGAAACTTCATAGGTCAGATATGAGGGTTAATTTTATCAAATATTAGCTTACTGTGTATAAGACTCCTGGCAGTTCTCTGTTGATGTGCTGTTCCAGTTGTTTTTGGGTAATCTTTAGCAGAATCTTGCTTGCATGTGATATCAATGATATTGTTTGATAATTTCTGCACTCTGTTGGCTCACCTTTCTTGGAAAGGGAACAAATATAGATCTCTTCCAAGTGGTTGACTTCCAGATTTCCTGGCACAAACTTGGTGAGCACATCTAGGGCAGCACCTGGTAGTTGAAATACGTCAATTGGTATGCCATCTATTCCTGGGGCCTTATTTTTTGCCAGTTCCTTCAAAGAAGCTTGAACTTTTTCCTGCATCACCATATATTATTTCATGAAATTCTTCTGTGTCTGCCAATTCCTTTCAGTAGAGTGACTGCACACTCTTTCCATATTCTTTTAATACTTCCTGGATCATTTAATAGTCTGCCTAAAGCATCCTTAAGGGTTGCAACTCGAGGTTTGAATTTGTTCTTCAGTTGCTTCAGCTTAAGAAATGCTGAGGGAGTTTGGCCTTTTTGATTTTCTGACTCCAGCTCCTTGCACATTTCGTTGTAATATTTTACTTTGTCTTCCATGCTACCTTTTGAAATCTTCTGTTTAGCTCGTTAGTATCTTGAATTCTTCCCTGTGCTTTGGGCTTCTTGGCACTCCAGTGCAATATTCAATCTCTTCTGAAACCCATTTTGTTCTTTTCTTCCTCTGTCTTTCTAATGAACTTTTTGCACTCTTTCTGTATGATACTCTTGATATCCTCCCACAACTCATCTGGCCTTCGCTCATTGGTGTTCAAGGCCTCAAACCTGTTCCTGAAATGGTTCTGAAATTCTGATGGGATAGGCTCAAGGTCGTATTTTGGTTTCTGTGGATTTAACTTTCCTTAGCTTCATCTTGAACTTGAATATGAGTAGTTGATGATCTGTTCCACAATCAGCACCTGGCCTAGTTTTCACAGCTGATATTGGGCTTTTCCAGTGGTTCTTTCCACAGATATAATCAGTCTGATTCCTATTCATACCATCAGATGAAATCCATGTGTCTAACCTGTGTTTATGTTTCTTATAAAGTGTATTCGTAATGAATAAGTTTTTGATTGTTCAAAATTCAGTCATTCTTTCTCCAGCTTCATTTCTGTCACTGAGTCCATGTTTTCCAACTACTTTTGCCTTCCAGTCTCACAGTATTATTAACGCATCTTGATTGCATGTTCTATCGATCTCTGACTGTTCAAGTTGTTAGAAATCTTCTATTTCCTCTTCTTTGGTTCTGATTGTTGGTGCATATATCTGAATGATAGTGGTATTCACTGGACTTCTTGTACATGTATGGATATTATCCTGTCACTCACAATATTGTATTTCAAGATGGATCTAGAAATGACTTTTAACTATGAAAGCAACCCCATTTTTCCTCACCTTTTCATCTACGGAGTAATAGAGCATATGATTTTCCGACTCAAAATGCCCCATGCCAGTCCATCTCATCTCTTCAATACTTATTATGTCAATATTTATGCATTCCATTTCTTCCTTAATGATACCTAATTTTCCTACATTCATGGTTTTCACATTCCATGTTCCAAACACTAGTGTCTGCTTACAACTGTTCCTCTTCCTTTGTATTTCCATACTTGAAAGTTCCGCTTCAGTTCCCTTGTTATTCTATGTGTGTTCTATTGTGCATAGGGTTTTCAGAGGCCTGCTATTTCAAAAGTGGATGGCCAATCCTTCTTCCTAGTCTGCTATCAACAGAAAACTGCCAGAAGTCCAGGCTGGGTTTAGAAGGGGTCGTGGTACTAGGGCTATTATAGCTGATGTTAGGTGGATCTTAGCTGAAAGCAGGGAATACCAGAAGAATGTCTATCTGTGTTTCATTGATTATGCAAAGGCATTTGACTGTGT